GGCCATATCCTGTAGTTTCTTGTTATAAATTTTCCCTTTTCCTGAGCTAATATCCTAGTCACTAAGTGTGCAGTAACCCCAGGAGCCTGCCAGCTTGCCCCACACAGGTTGTCCCATCAAGGCTGCTGCCTTGTGCCTGACGACAACCCCCATGCCCTTCCCTGGGGAGGGCCCTAGTTTCCGATCTGGACCTGTCAGCAAAACATTCGATTCATTTTCTGGATTTCCTGTGTGAGTCTCACTTCCTTGTGTCACACCTGACTGACCACCCCACCTGGCAGACCAGCACAGATCCCTTTTCAGATCAAAACTAACATAACTTGTCCCAGAGGACCCTAGACCCAAAAGTAATTCAGTGTAAAATACTTTCCACCCTGGGCCAACCCAAGGGGGCAAAGTTACCTTTGGATCATTCCAGAGATCCCAGAAAAGTCCTCCCCCAAATCTCCCTCCTCTGTGGGGTGAGGGCTGGAAGCACTGTTAATGGTGTTGCATTGGCACAAGATGCTGTGGCAGTGCAGTCCACAGCCTGTGTGAACAACTGCCTCGTTGCCATGACACTGAGCATGTTCATCAAAGATTCCACAGAAGAATCTTGATCACAGGGGGAGATACAGAACACAATGTCAAATTCTCTTGGACTCTGGACTTCGTGGATCCATGGGGGGTGGGAGGGGTGGGTAGATGAATCCCTGAACCCATTGTCCCAAGATAACCCTTAAACCCTAAGCCACAAATGTGCCCAGACGTCATCTTGAAATCAACGGTTTCACTTAACTGGTAGGAAAGTCTGCTCTAGCATTATGCTCTTTCAAGAACTACAGGAGGTCAAATTGTCAACAGCAACCTGAAAATTTAGACAAGACCCCTCAGGATAGTGAGTCTATGTTTAATGAAGAACAACTCAGAAAAAGAAGGTGAGGATGTTTTCACACCTCTGGAAACATGAGCAGTGTCACTAAATTGCACAGATACTGGAGTATGAGGAAGATGAATGGAGCGAAGAAGAAATCTGCAACACAGGCAAAAGAGTAAAGACAGTGAGCTTTATTAAGTAATGGTTCTCCCTCAGGAGAGGAGGTGGGTCCGTCAGAGAGAGAGGTGAGAACAGATGTCCCTTCTCCTTTGTTTCCGTATTTCTCTTTCACACTGCCTGAGCTCATTTGAACACCTGCTCTCTGCAGAGACAGGCTTCTCACAGAACTTCTTCGGATGGGTCAGTTCTGGCGTCTGCTGATTTTCCTGCTGCTTGGATTCCAATTCCTGTTTCACCCTCTACCCCCATCTTCATCACCATATTCTCTTTGTTTTCTCTGACCCTAATAAGAAACTGTTGAATTGGTGAACATTTTGCTGTGTATATTCTCAACAACAAAACAAATAAAATTCGTTCTTGTTCAGCACCGTTGAGTCAGCTGTGACTCATGGTCGTCTGAAGAACAACAGGTTGGAAGTCATCCTCACCATCTCTGCCAAGTTCAAGTCCATGGCTGCAGGCACTGTGTCAGTCCATCTCATTGAGCATCTGCCTCCATTTTAAAAGAAAAAGCAGCACTGTTTGCATGACATCACACACGGTTACATCTGTGACTCGCTACTTCACTCATGCATCAAGTATGAATGGTATCCTTATCATGTGCTGGCAACAAAACATACTGTGCGTGCATGACTTCTGCCCCCACTCTACACAGCAAGGTTCAGGTCTCGTGCACCTGCCTTCTACCTGTTTCTGAGAACCTCCTGGAAACTTATTCTGTGCCTTTCCCTGCTCTAGAATCCTCTGGCCAATGGACACACACACACACACACACACACACACACTTAGTCCCTGTTCAGTGAGAAGAAAATGCTCTATGAACAAAATATGAGTCTCCGAGGCCCTGTGACCTTGACAGAGATCTGTGACCTCAACCATCACCACAGGGATAACAGTACATTGTCACAGGGCTATCAAAGGCCATTCTGGAGACTCTCAGGTGAATAGGACACTCTCTAGAAGCTTTGACCTTGGAAATCAGATGAGCTCTCACAGCAAAGGTCTCCACCAGGAACCCTCTGGACTGGCAGGGTCACCTTGGGCAGCCACCCTGCCCCTTGGAGCCTCAGCTTTACCCATCTATAAATTGGCCTGGATGAGCAGTGAAAACCTCAAGTATCTGTTTTGGGCTTGGAGGCATGGTTCAGCAGCCCATGCCCCTCATCGTGCCCTGGTTCCGTGTCAGGGTGAGGCTCCTTGGAACCATGTGGACACTGCTAAGGCCGCTGAGCCTCCTACCCACACAGCCAAGCTCCACATCCATGGACACTCTCCTAACTTCACATGGTCCAGTGCCAGCCACCATGACCTCAGAATGACCACTGCCTATGACCCACAGAACACAAATCAGGAAACACATTCCCAATGACCCAACCTCAGTCATCAGGAGGACCTCACAGAACTTGGGACCCACAGAACTTGACTCAGAGCACTCCAATGTCAAATACTTCTGAGATGTCCTTCCCTCAGCCCGTAAGTCTTCTCCAAACTGCCCAACTGACCTCCTCTTGACTAAAAGCGGTCTCAGTGCTTAATCATCCCCACCCCCAATGCTACCCTCCCTGGGAGTTCAGAAAGAACTGGGCTTCCACCCCTAAGTGGCACACTTAGAATAAAAGAACACTTCTAATAGATTACGAGGGAGATCTGCTTGTCTAGCAGGTAAAGAGTTGCACTGTCAACTCAAAGCCAAGCAATTCAAAATCTACCAGCTGCTGCTTGGGGGAAAGATGGACAATTTCTTCCTGTGTGATTTACAGCCTCAAAACCAGTTGGAGGGTCGGCTATGAGTTGGTTCCTACTTGACAGCAGTGAGTTAATGGACGACGGTCCCTTACTTAGTCATTTCTCCTCTTCCAAGACCCTGACAAAGGCGGATGCCTGTCATCGTCCTTGTCATTCCCAAGTGCTTATGAAGATGATGTGGCAAGCATCATGCTATGAATGTCCTTTACACAATCCTCACCAGACCATGATGTGGCAACACAGGCATCATTGTGACAACAGGTTCTGTCTCTACTAAGCAGTGGGGCTGAGATTCAATGGGTAACCAGTGTGGGCAGTAGACACTAAGACAGTCAGTATACTGGAACCTCATTTTCCTCACCTTTAAGACAAGGTACCCTCATGGGTTGCTGGGTGATGAAGTAACTGAAGTCTACGCAGAAATCTTTCCACTTGTTCAGGTCCATAATAATCAACACTCTTGGAACTAGCAGTCAGGAAATCTGCTGCCAGAGGCCTCTCCAGAGTGCTGAAGTGCCAAGATGTCAGTCTAGAGACTAAGGTGTGCCTGATTCAGGCTATGGTCTTCGCAATTACTTGCTATGCATCAAAGAGCCAGACAATAAGGATGATAGAAGAATCAATGCCTTTGAGTTGTGGTGCTGGAGAAGAGTATTGAACATACCATGACCTGCCAAGAGAACAAAGAGTTCTGTTCTAGAGAAAGTAAAACCAAGCTGCTCTCTGGAGGCAAGGATTTTGAAGCTCCATTTCACATACTTTGGGCATGTTGCCAGGAGAGACTAGTCTTTAGAGAAGGACAACATGTGAGGAAGATCCTGGATGACATGGATTGACACATTTGCTGGGCTAACAGGGGCAGGTGTGTTGAAGACAGTGAGATTGGCTCAAGGTAGCAGAGTTCAAAGCTATTGTGCATAGAGTCGTTATGAATCACAGGTGACTGGACAGCACATAACATTAATGCAGAAATCTTAGTACAACACTAAACGAACATGCCTGCACTTTTGCCAAGACCTATCTCTTTGGTTTGGTTTTTGGGCGTTCATGGGATATTCAGTGCTGTTCTTGGAAAAGTTGAGGGTCAGAGAAAGACAGGAGAATGAGCTAGAGTGGTACAGAGAATGCAGCAATGGGCTTGTGTGTCAGAGATGATGAGGATGGCACAGCATAGGACAGGGTTCAGATATGTTGTCCATACAGTCACTAGGAGTCATACTCAATGGCACCTAACAACAACTGAACCTGTTAATGTTTCTTCACCTTCGAGATGCTGGGGGAGCTCTGGTGGCCTAGTGGCAAGATGCTGCACTGCAATCCCAGAGGTACGCAGTTCAAATCCACCAGATGCTCTGCTGGAAAAGGAGGGGGAAAATCTCCTCCTGTACCAGTCAGATCTGATTTGATGGTACACGTAAATATAATAAAAATTTAAAAAAAAAAAAGTTACAGATGCTTTGTCCTAAATCACAACACCAAACAGTTTTTTAATAGAAAATAGGGTTTATTTTCACATTTAAAGTGAAGATAAATAACTGTTCCAGAGATGTTTCACATATGTAATCAATAAATTTAATTTCTTAAAAATCAACGCTCCAGTAAACACAAGGTTATTCTCCAGAGCACATGGGTAGGCCATGTCAACAAGGATTCACAGTGAGTGACAGAGCACAGCTCATACTGGCTTTGCCCCTGGCTCATCTGCCACCACCACGCACCCTTCTCAACGACAGCAGCAAACCAGTGCAGTTCACAGTAGCAGGAGAGGCCGCAGCCATGGTGCCTACACAAAGCCCAGAATTCTGCTTCAAATCCCAGCCCACCAAATCAGGTCTCACCCCAGCACGGAGAAGTAGCACAGCTTTATGTCTAGTAAATCTTGTTATTTAAATTATTTTGAACAGGAAGAGGGAATGAAACAGGTCTTAAGAGTCTTTTTGTAGCAAGTGGCTTTTCCCTTGGTGAAGGGGAAGGCACACTTTTCCTGAACGTTCTCACCAATGTCCAAGGCACAGATGAAGTTGGACTGGGCAATCAAAGGCAAGGCTTGCAGAGACCTGGGAGACTCAGTGTGGACACGGTGCTGAGAAAATGAGCCAGGAGGAAGGTGGACGCTAGGGAAGCAGACATCTGGGATTCCTGAGAGGCCTGCCCCGAACACACAGCGGTGACGGACAAGAAGCAGGCAGTGCTCCCGGCACCACCCCCTCACGTGGCGGGCCAGCACTAGCTCAGCTGGCCACAGTCTGTGATGACAATCTTCTTGGATGTCTTTCCGCTCTTGGAGCCGAAAGACTCTATTTTCTTGACAACATCCATGCCCTCTTTAACATGGCCAAACACAACATGTTTGCCGTCCAGCCTGGAAGAAGAAGAAGAATGAGAACCAGTTGCCACCGAGATGATGCCAACTCAGGGTGACCCCACTTGTGTGGAGCCTCACAGCCTCCCAAGTGCTGCCAACGACTGGCTTTTCAGAAGCAGACTCCCAGGCCTTTCTTTGAAGGCACCTTTGGAGGGATTTGAACTTCCAATCTCTGTTAGAACCAGAGCATGTTAACATATCTGTTAACATCCAGGAGGTGCTAAATAGATGAGGGTGGCACAATGTCACTAACATCACAGCCACCTGGTAATGGAACTAATCCCTCAAAGCAGCAATTATGAAAGACGCTCACCGAAGAGCAGGACCAAACCCCAAACCCCTCGTTCCTGATGAGCTTCCTAAATACATCACGGAGCACCTTCTTCCACTCACGCTCCATGTGGCTGGGCCCCAGGACACTCTCCCCAAGTCCTGACCGCCTCACAGATACTGGGTGAGTTCTTCTAGTTTGGCACCAGAAGGTAATGGGATATGGAACTACTTGCAGAAATAAGGAGTCTGTATCTACGGATCCACCTGAGCAGGAGTCAATTAGGAGGTGAGAGCAAAGCTAATGGTGACAAAAAAGTTGTGGAAGATGCTGTCCTGAGTGCACAACTTGAGGGAGTTCTGAGAATCTAAAAGGCAGTCAGAATGCTTGCCGCTGGGACACACAGGCAGGACCCATTAAGGACCCTGTGGAAGGAACAAAGAGTGGCCAGAGCCAGCAAGGACCTGTCCGGCTAAGGCACTCCTGTTCCTGCTGGCTTGCAAGCCTGCTACCATCCACCTGGAAACTTGAGTTTCCTTCAAACTCTCAGAATGGGTAAGAAGTCTCAGCTTACATCATCCCCCAAGTCCCAGATGTCACAGAGATAGATGGGACACTAGGGACCTGGGTGGTGAAGAGGACTATATAATAAATGTTAAAAAGGATGGGAATTTTCTAAGGAAACGCCATCTAAAACCCACAGACATGAGGAAAACAGTGCTTCAGGGGCTATACACTACTTACATGCCTATGCTAACATTTAGCCCAATGACAAAGCTGGTAGGATGTTCATACCCCTGCTGGGGGCCGTCCAAGGCCCTGACTGAAAGGCAAGCTGGGAAACACTAAGTTACTGTGCTTTTCCTGTAGGCATCTAGTCCCGCCATATCCTGCAGTATTTCACAAACATATTTGTTAAACTTTTCTTGGGGTGGGCGAGGGAGACACAGAACTAATTTGACTCAAATTTCTCTTTTCTCCTCATGCCCACGTGAGGAACTGACCGAGCAGGAATAGTGGAGGGAGATCCCTCACCACCTGTCCTGAGAGCACACAAACCTTCCTTCCCTTCCTCCATGGGCCTCTTGCTCCCAGAAGGCCACGTGGAATGGGGGGCACTCACCAGTCTGTCTTTATGGTGCAGATGAAGAACTGAGAGCCGTTGGTATTAGGGCCAGCATTCGCCATGGACAGGACACCTGTGAGGACAAGCAGACATGAGCGGTACACGCCCTGTGGGTGGATATTTCACCTGGACAGTCATTCGGGAAGAGCAGACAGATAAACCAACCAGGGGCACGTCAGACTGCAGAGCTGGACCGCCCTTCTTCACTGCCCACAAGGACAGAACACACATGGCAGCCAGGGGCAAGAAGGGCAGGGCCCAGCAGAAGGTCTGATTTCTGGACTTCCCTACCTTGGGGCTTCATTTAAAGGCTTAGCTCCCAAAGGAAAGCTTGTCTTGCTTTGAAACCAAGAGCTCAGGATGAGAAAGCATTAGGGAAATTCAACTCAGAAATGCAGACCACTTGAACCCAGAGGACCATCCAGGATGCCACCTGGATGCACCCTCAAACACCACCTTGATAGCAGGGACATTCCTGCCCAAATTCTATACCTGACTGAACAGGATAGCTGCCTGCTGGAAGGTGAACAACTGAGGCCTGCAGCCTCCAAGGGCCTATACAGACAGGGCAGGGTGAGGTGAATGAGGAGGGGAAAGGAGGTGGGGAGGGGTGCAGGGGTGAGTGGGATGGGGAGGGGGAGACAGGGCAGGTTGGGGTGAATGAGGAGGGGAGGGGTACAGGGGTGAGTGGGATGGGGTGGGGTGAGACAGCAAGGTGGGGCAAGTGAGGTGGGGAGGGGAGGCTAGGAGGGGTGAGTGGAATGGGGAGGGGTGAGACAGGGCAGGGTGGGGCAAGTGAGGCAGGGAGGGGAGGCTAGGAGGGGTGCAGGGTGAGTGGGATCAGGAAGGGGGAGACAGGACAGGGTGGGGCAAGTGAGGCAGGGAGGGGAGGCTACGAGGGGTGCAGGGTGAGTGGGATCAGGAAGGGTGAGACAGGACAGAGTGGGGTCAGAGAGGCAGGGAGGGGAGGCTAGGAGCGGTGCGAGGTGAGTGGGATGGGGAGGGGTGAGACAGGGCCGTAAGCGGTTACTGGGGTGGGGTGAGGCAGGTGGCTTCAGTGGGTGAGCACTCACCAGGTCCCACATGCTTTAGTGTGAAGTTCTCATCAGGAAAGCGGCTCCCATAGATAGACTTGCCACCTGTGCCATTGTGGTTTGTGAAGTCACCTGCCTGGAGAACACAGATACTCTTAGTGTGGCCACCACACAGAGCTGGGAGGGTGCAGGCAGGTCTTGACCCACCCCTTGGTCCCCCCTTGGGCAAAGGAGTCAATAAAAATCCAATGAAAAAAAATCTAATAAAATACACAAAAGAAACTATAGCCTAAATATATCCTGCCATCACAATTACCCTGGTTTCAGAATGACTATCATTTAAATGTAATCCTTTCATTTAGCTAATTGTAGGGAGTTCTGGTGACCTAGGTGGGTAAAGAGTTGTGCTGCCAACCCAAAGGCAAGAAGTTTTGAATCCACCAGCTTCTCTTTGGGAAGCCAAGTTAATTTTCATTTAAAGCAAGACTCTAGATGACTTGTAATGTAAATACCATTCTGAAGCAATCATTAATGACCCAGAATTTTGAACCTATAAATCCAGGAGTAGAAACAGGAAGGCCAAGGGCTCCAATTCCCAGGGCAGGTCTGAGAGCAGCACGTGGCTCAAGGTCATTCCTATGCAGAGTGCCTGACCCTGCCTCTCCTTTTATTTTCCTTTCAGCAGGCCCACAGCTTTTGTGGGGCCTCAAACCCTCAGGACAGAGTTCACCTGGGACCTAGCCTGCCTCCTCAGGGGTTCACCACAGACCTTGACAGCCCTGTGTGCAGCTGTGGCCGGGAGGGTCCAGGGGCTGCCTCTATGACCAGTGCTCCCATTCCCTGGACAAGATTCCTCAGGTGATCAAGGAGACCCAGGCAGCCCAGCTAAAGCATCCACAAATGCCAAGAAAGTCTCCTCAGACTGGACAGCTCAGTACCTGACCCTGCCCTTTCACTTCACGAAACCTCCAGCTTTAGTCCCCAGCCTGCCTGTTAGGGCTCAGCAGATGACCCTAGCATGGCCCAGAACAAACAGCCTCAGACTGATGGGGCACAACCAGGCCTGCCCATACCCAGGTCTTCCTGACACAACCACCATGGGCAGCTGCTTCCAGGCAGCCCGGCTCAAGAGCAGGCCCAGTCTCAACCCACGGCCACTCATCATGACATGCTGGGGGGTACAAAATTCCAGGCTGAAAGACTTCATAGAGGTCATGAAATCTGTGCTTCTATCTTGAAGCTCTCTACTGGTCCCAAGAGCCACACCTTCACCTTGAAGGGTTCATCCTAACAAAGACCCTAACATGCTCAGTCTCTAAACCTGAGAGTGGTTGCTGCTGTTAACACCTGCCTCAAAGTGCTGATGCAGCAATACTAATGAATGACTGTGACAAGAAGGCAGGTGGCATGACTAAAGAATGTGTGCACCTGACCGCGAAAATGCCCTCTCCAGTCCAGCCATTCAAGAGACACTCAAGTCCAAGCATGCATGCTTGTCCTCCATTTCCCATGCCAAGCTGCCACAGGAACATGGGTAAGGGGCATCCAGGACTACTAAAATATGCCAGTCTTTCAAAGCTTTAGGGTGTATCCCTGTATATGTACACATACCTTCCTCCCTCACCAGTTCAACCATCCTAACCCAGCTGGGCAGGGCCTCTGGTCACCTGCCCTTTTGTTTAACTTCCAGGGTACAGAAGGGTCACACAGCCCAGACAAGCCACAACCCCTAATGGCAAGATCACAAGCCAGCCAGAGAGCTACACAGAGCAGCCACAAGTTCGCTCAGTGAACCCTCTCAAACACCCTGTGAGGTGGCCACCATTACTACCCTAATGAAAAAGGCAGAGAGGGCTGCGTTACCTGGCACATGAAGGATGGAATCACCCTGTGGAAGGTGGAGCCCTTGTAGCCGAAGCCCTTCTCGCCAGTGCACAGGGCTCTGAAGTTTTCTGAGGGATGAAGAAGGTGAACTCTGGGGTTACGTGCATATAGCCACCACCACCACCACTAACCCCATCAGTAGCTAAAACATGTAGAGACCTCATGCCCACACATACACTGGTTCTGTCTTAACCCTCTATGTGGCCCGAAGGGGGGGGGTGGACTCCCCTTCTCTGACCTCTGTCCCAAAGATGGTAGGGAGAGGGTCAATGAGGCAGATCATCAAGAGTTCCCCAGCAATTTCCCCCATCAGGCACTGTCCTTCCCCAAAACAGGGCAGAGGAATTTACACAGTTTTTGTCTGAGTTTAATCTTCTACATGTTCTTAAACTCCCAGTTACTGCCAGAGAGGTGGGCAGAGCCAAAACTGTGGTCTAGCAAAGCAAGGCCCCAGCTGTCCCAGAGCCTCCTGTAGGACTCCCTCTGGTCACCAGTCGCTGGCCCCTCCACACAGCCCCCTCCTCTCCACTCTCCTGTCTGGACCAGACTCAGAAGGCCCATCCTGTCTTACCTGCAGTCTTTGGGACAACATCAGCCTTCAGCTGCAGGTGAGAAGGACAAGAGAAATGGTCAGTGCAAAGGCAAGCCACGGACTGCCCACAGATGCAAGGAGGCAGCGAATGCCACAGGGCCACTTCATGCCTGTTCCTCCCATTCACCGTGGGCAGCCCCAGCAGCTATCATCTTTGGCAGCTGCTTCCTGAATGTCAGGCTGGGAAGCAGAGGCCTTGGTTTCCTCATCTGTCAGAGGAGAGGGTAATGCCATCCTGACCAAGGGAAAGATGGCAGAAGAACCACAGCTGGGCCCAGAGCCTTGCCTCGGGGCCTGGACCAAAGACCTAGTACAAGTTCCTCATTGAAGGAATGGAAGTCAGAGGTGGAGATAATGGATAATCAGTACCCTCCTTCGAGCCTCTCAGCTCTGAGCCTCAAAGACCAAAGACCCAAACCCTTGAATTAAAGGAAGCAGGGAGTATTTGCCCTTTCTCCAGAAGAAAAAAAACCTGAGGCTTAAGAAGAATCCAAAAGTTTTCCTGGGAAATAGGTCACTCAGCATGAGCTTTCCTTTTTGAAGTTACTCCCGTGTAACCTTCCAAACTATGGCATTAACAACTACCTTTTAAAAAACCCAAAAACAAACAAAAAAACCTCGCAGTTTAAAAATGATCCCAAAGGGAGGCCCAGCTTCGACTAGGGGCAGGCGCAGTGAGCTAGCGCCACGCGAGCACAGAGGGCCCCGAAACCCCACCCCGACTCCACCGGCCAGCCTGCCCCCAGGCCCGCCTCCAGGGCCCCAGGTCTGCGCTCGGACCACAGGGTGCAGTGGGCGCCGGCCCCCCACCCCCGATCCCACTCAGCCAGGTCGTTTCCAGGGCCCCAGGTCCGCGCTCGGACAGCCGGGTGCAAGGCCCTGCCCCCACTCGGAGGCGGGCAGGGGCCCGGGGCCGCTCAGGCTGGTACCTGACCTTGAAGGTCCCCTCTCCAGGACTCCACGTTAGGTCGAAGACACCGACCCCATGTTCTTTCCTACAGACCGGGAAACCGAGGCCCGCGGAGGGCTAGCAGCGCCGCCGCCCGCCACCCGCCCCCCGCCCTGTCCGGGCCTCACCTCCAGCACCACGCGGCCCAGCGGCTGCCCGTCGGCGCCCACGTCCAGGTACACGAGCGGGTTTCCGGAGGGCGGAGAGGACGCGCCGCTGCAGGCGCGGGCCGCGGGGAGGCGCAGCGAGGCGGGACGTGGGCCGGGCAGCAGGCCGAGGAGGCAGGGGCTACGGCGCAGGGCGAGCATCGCGGGCGCGGGGCGGCAGTGAACGAGAGGACAGCTGCAAGTGAGGACAGAGTACAGAAGGTCGCAGGCCCGGGAGGCCGAGTCCCGGTGGCCGGCGGCGGCTGCATTTATTGGTCCAGCGTCTTCTAGGACACGCCCACTCCACGCCCAAGCCACGCCTCTCCTGTTCGCGGGCGACCCCTGCTGGCCGTAATGAGCAGTGCACAGGCTCCCGGACGCGCCTTCAACAACTCCCAAGTCCTTTGGAGGCTGGAGACTCCACTGGAGGAACAGACGGGTCTCACTGCCCATTCCCATTTTGTGAGTGTCCTGTATGACAACATTAAAAAAGTACCTGAAAAAAAAGTACCTAAATACACCAAAATATCCCTTTGCATTTATTTGAACATAATAACAAAAGTCAATTTTGAGCCCTTCCTAAAAGTCATGCAAACTGGCCTCCTAGTGGCCCTCTCCCTCAGGGCCAGGAGGCGGGGAAAGGTGTAGGTGAGACGCGGGAGTAGAGAGCCAGGTGGCAGGAGGAGACCCAGCTACTTCCCATGGTGGCCAGCACCTCTTCATTCCAGTGTCTCTAGAAGGTTCCAAAGAGGAGACTGGTTTCTTGAGAGACTAGAGCCTACATCTGCTACGCAACTACCAGGCTCCTCACTCTCCCACAGAACTGGCTCTGAGACCCCCCACTGCCCCAGAGTGTCAGTCCTGACCCTGCCCCTATCAACGAAGGCTCCCATCCTACCTCTCTCACCTGTGAGCACATCCCATACTGGCTGAACCCCACCTGCCAGAAACAGACATGATACTATTCTATGTTGAGAGTAAGGCAAAGTGAGAGAAAAACCAAACTTAGGAGAGAAATGGACTGAGTTGGGGAAACTGCAGCCAGGGTGGGCTTCACAGGAACCCGGGAGTAGCCAGAGGCCCACAGTGAAGGAATCCTAGGCACAGGCAGTGAGAGACACCTGAGTCAAGACCCCACTGACCGCATGACAGACTGAGGCTCAGAGGGATAATGACAGGCCAGAGCTCACCTGTGCCCATCTGCCTGGACCTCTCTGAGCCTCAGTTTCCCCTTGTGGATAAGGGCATGATAAGCATTCCCCTCCTTTCTTTCCAGATTTGAGTACAAAAATAAATGAGACAGAGAGACAGATATTTATGAGCTATGAAATGCTGTGCCTCTGGGCAGAATCCAGGCTGTTTGTTTAGGGTGTGGAGCTTAAGGTGACCACCATGCCCCCTCTTCTCCCTGGTGGCACAGAGGTAAAATTCTCAGAACCAACTTGATGGCTGTCGTCCCTCAGTGGAGCACAGGTGGAACACAACATTGGTTGACAGGTTGGTGGTTCAGGCCCAGAACAGACACCGTGGGAGAAATGCTCATGGACATTTTGGCCAAGAAAATCCCATGCTGCAGAGTTCTCTGAAACACATAGGGTCTTCCTGAGAACTGATAGCAGCAGCTGGCTTTGTTACTCTTACTTTTGGATTGTCCTTCATGCCTGAAGACTTTGACTTCTCCCCCCGATGAGCCATGAGGAGCTCAGGAGAGCTGCCTCCACTCACTCAGACCCTTCCCCATCCTTAACTTGTCTGCCCTCCACCACAACCTGAAAGACAGACCCATTTTACAGATGGGGGAAAATGAGGCCCCAAGAGATGGGTAAGCTGATTACTCAAGAGAGGAGTGACAGAGCTGGGATAGTCTCTGTCCCTAAAATGGATATGTTTCATATCAGTTGTTTTGGTAGTCCAGGCTCAGGTGTTTGGGAGAGGATTGGGAGGTAGTGGAGACAGGCATGGAAAGACAACACAACAAAGATATAAACTGTGGGGTTAGCCCAGGCCTTGGGGCTCACAGAGAAGGTGGGCATGTCAGCCTGAAGACTGTTCGAGGGCAGAGGGAGTTATCTAGACTGCTGACAGAAATACCACAGCAAGTGACGTTAACAGAAACCTATTCTCATTTACTTTCTCCCCTTTTCTGCCTGAAGTTTAATGCTTTAAGTTTTCAGTTCACCCTTGTCTTTTCCAGGGGTCCTTTACCCCTTCCCCCACTTCTTTCCTTTTCACTTTAACTCTTATGTGTGGCCTTTCACTAGCTAAGTCTGTGTCTTAATACCTTAATAAAACTTTTTTACTTGTTTTGCTAAAAATAAAAAACACCCAAAACTCTTCTCTTCCAATTTAGGTTAGCGATCTGAATTCAGGATGCTAGTTCTAGAGACAGACTTCCTCTCTCTTCTCAGTCTGGAAGAAGGTCTTTATTTCCTTTCAAATTCATGGGCCTACTATTCTTCAGAGATCCCATGTGGCCTAGTATTCCCCTGTGTTGAGATGGTTCTAGCCCAGATACCTGGGTCTGAAGACCACCTCTGCTCTGAAGAAACTCCCCTGACATTGGATCAGGACTGTTAGGGATGTTGCATCTGACCTTCCTACAATGACCGATCACACGGTGGTGGTGGAGAGGGGCGATTGCATCATTGTGTGACTACCTCTCATCCTGCCTCACACAGGTTAGGATTTACACTATGATCATCACAATGCTGGGAATCATAGCCTAGACATACTGACAGATATTTTGGAGCACACTGTTAAATCCATGACAGCTACCAAAATGGAACATTTAGAGGAAGATGGGATCAAAGGCAACCCAGTACTGGGGCAGGCTGGGCTGTTTTCAGGATAGGCCAGGATATAGATTCAGAGCTGAGGGGCCTTCAAGAAAGCCTTGAAGCCCAGCTGGGTGTGACATCGTTGGGTAGTTCTGAGAAGTCATAGGTGGTGCAGTGCTTTCTTTTCCTGGATCCTGGACAGAGGCAGGAGCCCCTCATTCAGACCAGTAGCTCCTCATTCAGATGAGTAGCATCCCTCCACCTTCTTTGGAAAATCAAATGCCATCACTACGTCCTGCCCAAGCCAGATAAAAGTTCCACCTTCTCTACACCTTCTCTAGGCTGTGCTGTAAAGTTTTTGTCTTTAGTAACATCAAGAGGAGGGACAGTCCTCATGGATGAACCATGAGTTAAAACATGCCCAGCCCTCAGAGCTCCGGTCCAGGTGTGGTGGGGTAAGTGTCAGTACTCACCTGACACCTGGGCTATTTATAGACCCTGCGTCATCCTTCAGAACCAAGTGGAGAATGTTCTTCTTAGAGTGTTGATGTTTGTCACCCAGGGAACCTGTAATATTGCCTTTGGGCTTCAAAGAGACAAAGAACAATTAGAACTGAACTGAGAATACAAAGATTGCAAGCTCCAGGCAGGTGGTATATGAGTAAAACATGCTGGGATGGTCAAGAGAATGGTGGATGTATGCCCCAGTTAAAGGGGGAGCTGCTCTCAGGCCAGCCAGTTACTGGGTTTGAGAATCTGGATTCAATGTACCCAGGTCTCCTGATTTTACAAGTTAAAAAAATGTATAGAATCTCCTAGTTTTTTAGTATTGGAAACCAATTTTGGGAGTTATTTTTTAAAAATTATTCTTTTTCATAGAATTTTTCAACTATATTGTGTTTCTTTCATTTACATTGTGTTTTATAAAATAATTCATAGATGTTTTAGTCATGCACATTTTGTTTTATACAATCATTTCTATACCTTTTTATGTGATTAATTACTATTCACCTATGACCTATATCACCCTGTCTCCTACAATTAAACACTGAGTAAACCATAAGCAACACGTCCATAGTCTCTGGATATGAAATCTTCAGCGAGCAGTTTTCAAGTTCTGATCTCCATTGTACAGCCAAGAAGACTGAATCTCAGAGGGGCCCAGGGATGGGCCTGCCAGCAGAAGCCCTTTCTCCATTTTCTCCAGGGCCCTTTCTGCAAGATTCGCACAGCAGCCATGTTTTGAGCACCTGCTATGTGTCCCTCTCCCACCTGTCAGTTTGTCCTGTTGTGGTGGGTGGATGTTGCTTTGATGTTGGAAGCTATGACACTGATCCTTACACTATTAACAGGGGCATCTGTTGTGAAAGTTTCCTCTAAACTTCTAGACTAACACAGATAAGACAGAAAGACCAGAGGTTCTGCTAACAAAAATCAGCCCACAAAAACAGTGTGCACGAATGAAACACATGTATATTAATGATTGTACAAAACACAGTGTACATGAATGAAACAGAATGTATATAAAAGATTGTCTAAAACAATACAAAATATTACAATGAAATGTGCAAGGAGTTGGAGTCAGAAAATCAAAAGGGCCGAACTCGCTCAGCATATCTTAA